CATTTCCTTAAAAGATTTCTCGCGCCAGAAGTGGAAACATGGCTTGTTCCATAAGGACTCACAATCGGACCAAACACAGCTTGAGCTTCAAAAATGTCCCTCGTTTCTTCTTCTTTTGTTGTGGTTGTTCTTTTTGTTTCTTGCACCACGTCCCTTGAGCATTCACCCATCGAGAAACTCTTCAGTTCTGATGTTGCTTAACTTCGCCGATTGTAGGAGCATCGGCGTTCCAATTTGATATGAATATAATATAAACTTGGAATTCGAAACAGCTATGATGATGATGATGATGATGATATAAAATATATGAAATATTTAATATTTCAATAGGACATCTCAACGTGGTGTAATGGTTAGAAAGCTTGTTTTGCTAGATCAATTACGACTGAGTAGTGAGATCGATCCTCACTGGGTGAACCATACTTTCGGCCTTGTGTCAAAACTAAGCCGGCTTTAGAAAATCACTATTTAATGTTTCAGTAAGTTCCTCTTTTATCCATCAGAACGTAGATCCGTAAAGTTTCTACAGAAATTCCTCTTTCTTTACAATCGCTGTTTATGTTTGTTCTGCTAACCATTCATATAAGCTTTTTTTTACGTAGGCTACTATCGCTTTCCTTATGTTTCTCAGCAATTTCAACTGACTTCTTTATTGCATGCGTTAACTTGTTGTTTCATTGAGAGAAACACATCTTTTTCTCTTACAGACTTTTCTACATCGAGGAAGATATTGTCTCTCATTTACAGCCACAAAGGAGGATTTATAAAACATAGCAATTCATCAATCTTTTCTTTGTTTCTAACGAATTTTTTTTATATATATATTTTAGTACTTTTCTTAGATTCTGGAAGACATTGTGTGAAGTTAAAGCAAACAGGCTTGTAATTTTCCATAGATATCAATTTTGAGTATAGACAATAGAAATAGATTCTATATTTTGTTCCGTTATCCATTGTCATTTGTGACATTATAAATGTCATGATTCAAATGTTCAGATCATATCCTCCGTGTATAAAACAATCCTTAATTTAGGGAGTATTTTTATATGTTCGAATTCCATCTCATAAAGACATATACTATATTGTGGTGAAGCAGTAGAGAGCTTTATACAGTAGGGAGTGCCAGGGGCCTTTTTATAAATACCTGTGTCAATTTGGATATTAAAGTAGGAAAAACATATTATTACTGAATCTAACTTATTTCTTCTGAATGCACAATAAATCAATGAAGATATTTACAAAATACGCACGATATATGTTTTAATGAAAAAAAAAAAATCTAAACAATTTTTTCAAAGCATCCTGCAGCTTCTCACTAACTATTACACACTTTTGCATCCAGAATATTTTCTTACATATATTTTAATATTATCTGTTACTTCATTACATATGACACGTGTCTAACTAATAAGAAATAACCAATCAAAACATCCTACTGCGTCTCACTGACTTTTACACACATTAGCGCCCAGAATATTTCCCATAGATATTTGCTTTATTTTCTGTTATATCATTGCACGTGACACGTATTTAACCAATAAGAAATAGCCCAAAGCAATATAACATTAATCTGCATCTGCTTGATTTTTAGCATTTCTATCTTGATCTCCGATGAAAATTTAATAAAGTGAAACATGTTAGATGAAGTTATGTTTCTTATTTGTTCTTTATCCTATCCTATCATATATATATATATATATATATATATATATATATATATATATATATATATATAGATTGATAGATAAATATCATAACTCCGCCCCATTTTAAGATAGATCTTGGCCAGAGATGGCATCAAGACCCCCTAAGTTTCTGTTTTCTCTTGTAAAGAAAGAACTCTCCATCGGTCAGGTTTCAGTATCGGACATTTAATCACCGCTAACTCAGCCCTACCGGCACATATTCAACGATCAACTCCGTGACAGCTCAGTTCCAAGAAAGTCCACCACCAACCTACTCAGCGCGAGGACAGCTCAACGCTGGCGTCGAATGCATAGCTTCATACTGGTGTTAGCTCTCATAGTGTGCGCATCACTTAGATCGGTTTTGAGTGAGAGATATTTAGAAAATTTAGTTGTTTGTCTTAGTGATTTATTAGCTAAAGCTATTTGGCTGACTGGTTTTAACTTTTCAAGATCGGATAAATAAGATCGGATAAATGCACACTGAACTGGAGATGACAAAATGCATTATGGGTAGCAAAAGAAATAGAAGACTGCACACTGAACTGGAGATGTAGCACCAGACAAAATGGTGATTCATACAATTTTCAGGAAAAAATGAAAATTAAACTGAGATTTTTCGCTTAAATAGCATGGAATAATCCAACACAAACTAAGTTGAAAATGCATGTGAAAGAAGATGAAAGAATTTTGTATATTCTGGGAAGACTGTTCCTGCATAATGGGTTGACTAAACAAACTTCAGAGTCTCTGAATCAATTTCTTAGTTACTATCTTCCCAATTTTCAGGACCAACCCATTTTAATGGTGAAAATTAAACTCAGTTATTAAAATATGTTCCTTGATAAATTACTTTTATTTGTTTTTAAAACATCGTCGAAAAAATTTCAGCACTCGGGTCGTCACTGAATTTCCCTATTGCTAAGAAGGCTGGTTGGCGAGTTGTCCAGGAGTTGAGTTGTTACGCTAATGAATTGGCTGGTATTAAGTCGGCGGTGTTGATTCGGCGGTGTTGAGTCAGCGGTGTTGAGTTGTTGGATTTAAGACGTGCTGACCCTTCAGATTTATTTCGAAAGTTCACATATGCTTAGTCCCCCTTAACATATACAGATATGCACTCATGGGTATATATACATAAGCGCGTGCGCACACACGTCGCACACACACACACACACACACATAAACGCGTGCACACACACGTTATATATGTACGCACACACGCATATACTCACACGCACAAACACACACAAACGCAGGCATATAGAATATATATATATATATATATATATATATATATATATATATATATATAGATAGATAGATAGATAGATAGATAGATAGATATATTAGTGGTAAATATACATACATATGCAAAATATATAAATACCTATACATGTATATTTTTTTAATAAAAATTCCAAGAGGAAGAAAGTCTTTAAGCCTTTTTTATTATATATATATATATATATATATATATATATATATTACACACACACATACACACACACTTATATACTATACTTATTAATTAAAGAATATCGAACACCTACAACCCAATAGGTATTTTTTTTATTTCATGAAAAAAAATCAGCAAAACTTATTCTTCAAGATTTACATACAAATCAAAAATTAAATGTAAAACATATTCCAGGTTAAAAACAAGAGATATTGCTATTTTATTTCTAGAGTTGGTGAAAATACAGAGAATGCTGTGTCTTTTGACATAGAGCTCTCCTTGGATATATATCCTTCTACATGGATTGCCATATTGTAACATTACTTTATATATATATATATATATATATATATATATATATATATATATCGAGAAAGATAGGGAGATACTGAAAAAGAAACCTTGGCCTCAAACATACATCCTCTACCGTTATAATGTTTTAGGAAAAATGTCCACGAATGGAATTACACTGCAAGCCGTGCATTTTAATGAACTAGAATTTTTTACACTATTTGCATTGTTCCAATTGGTGTCCTTATTTTTATTTTCATATTCAAGAGGTTTCTGTCGGTACACGCTGCGTCCTAATGCAGGTAATATAGACTTTATTTTTGAACGGAAAGTATATCACCTGAATATGCCTGGAGAGTACAACGGCCAAAACGACGTAAATATGACAATAAAGATAAGAACAAGAGTCTGAATAATATAAATAGTGTAAATAGTTACAATGACTCATCTCAGAAATAAAGAGAGATTTATGAATTTTTTTCCTGACATGTGTTGAAATCCTCACTGTATTTGTAATTGTTGAAGTCATCGCAAAACTTTTTTGGCCGAGATTTACAACTCTCCACGTATCGTTCAATTTTACAAACATATCAATCAAATTTGAATAAGCTGATTTTTGGGGGTAATACATTGACAAATACCCTATTTTAGCAGTTTAATGATTACTTTAATTTCATTTAATTTAATGGGGCTTCATATTAACCATTACTTTTTAAGAAAATGTATTTTTTTCCTTTTTAACAGCTAAGAATAAATTTTAAGGATTTCTTACGTTTGAGCTTGCAACATGCTTTAATATTTCTTTTTGAAGTCAAGTTAAAACTTTTTCAAACCTTTGGCATTGTGATTTGTTTATAGAACTCACAAATGCGCGGCTAACTGAAAACTGGATTTTTTTATCTAAAAACCTAAATAATAGATATGCTAAAAACAATATCGAGTTATTATTATCTGCTTATATCTCTGAGATGAGGTATTCTGATTATTTGCATTATTTACATTATTCGGACTGTTTTCATTATCTTCATTGTCATATTCACAACGCTTCGGTCGTTGTACGCTCCGGTCTTTTTCAGGTGATTGGAATTTCGAACCGAACTCTTTATTTCGTCAACCAGGGTAGATCGCTCTAGTTCCACGTTACATTAACTTCACTATCAAATGTTTTGGTTCCTCACAGCTGTTGCCTTGTATTGAACTCACTACTTTTTGGAGTCTAGTCACTGGATATAAGTAGTTTATCCACTTGGCCGGTGGATTTGTGAGTTCAATACCAGGCTACAGCAATGGGGAACCAAAAACCTTGTAGAGTTGAGTTAAAGGGAAGTAACTGAGACATCCGGAAGAGGCATAACATAGAGAAATCTACCTCGTCATCTTATATATATAGTTAGATATTGATATAAAACGCATTGAAATCACAGAAGCAAATTTAAGCGATTTGAAGATATTTGCTGAATATTAATTGAAGTAGGTTTATTAAATAAGGATGGCTCATGTAAAATTATCTCACCAGTGGACTAAACGTACCATCCTGTCAATTTAAAACACTATCCTAGATCGGAACGATGGACCGAGTGAAGCAGATGACCATTTCAGGCCTTAGGGGATCGAGCCGAATGATCAGTCAAGCTTCTCTGCGCGATTATACACAATGGTGTAGTACTTTCGTGTTTAATATTGATGTAAATAGATATAGTCTGTCACGTTTTATGCAATATTAGTTCCTTTCAAACGTATATAGTGTGAAAAACGCAGAGGAAAATACAATGTATGCACGACTGCCTCGTCGGCCGTTTAATGTTTCCCCTGTTGATGATAATAGTTAAAAAGGTCTGCTTTAAAATGTAAAAATAATTTGCAATTATATCAACTGAAAGCATAAGTGTAGAAAAATAGTAACAGTCTATTCTTTCTTTCTTTCTTTCTTTCTATCTTTCTTTCTTTCTTTCTTTCTTTCTGTCTATTACGGTCTCTACCTATCTATCTATCTATCTATCTATCTATCTATCTATCTGATACAGCCTGTAACACATATCTGATAGATATATAATCTATCATATATGCGTTAGATCCTATTCCTATGTATATATCTAGCTAGCTATCACAGTCTTTTCCTATCTATCTATCTATCTATCTATCTATCTATCTATCTATCTATCTATCTATCTATCTATCTGATACAGCCTGTTCATATCTATATATCAATTTATTCATCTGTGTTGCACCCTATTACTATTCATCTATCTACCTATCTATTTATCTCTCTCTCTCTCTCTCTATATATATATATATATATATATATATATATATATATATATACTTGATACACCCTAATAATATCTATCTATTCATCTATCTATCAGTTACATCCTATTCCTATCTATCTATCTATCTATCTATCTATCTATCTACCTGATGCATACGATCATATATATATATATATATATATATATATATATATATATATATATATATATATATATATATATATATATATGAGTTACAGCCATTTCACATCTATCTATCTATCTATCTATCTATCTATCTATCTCACGGACAGTCATATTTATCATAAAGCCGAAGTGTACTAATTAGCTTGCATTGATCTTCTTAACAATGTCTCTGTGAACGAAGTGAAGGTTCTAAATTAACGCCAAGCAATAACAGTGCCTAATAAAAGGGAGGGTAAAAAAGCATTCTTACATAAAATGACAAAAGATGTTTTCTGCTTCAGTTAGGATGTCCTTGTTCAATATTCAACCTCGTCTTTTACATTTTTTTAATGTCTTATTTTGATTGTATTCAGCAAAGGTAGAAATGTTCGTCTAGTTTATTAATTTAAATAAAGTACGTTTTATATTTATTTTGGAATTAACTTTATTGAACGAAGAACTTTCTTGTTTTTTTGTTTTTTTCCGCTTTCGTTATTTTTACGGCCACATCACATTGAAACCCCAGTTCCCGTATGATCACCAAAGTTAAGCAAAATCGAACCTGGTCAGTATGAAAATGGGTGGCCATTTCGGAATAGCAGGTGCTGTAATCTTGGATGTGGGAATGGTGTAATGGATAGCTCGAAATTGGAAATCTGTGAGCGGTGTTCCAATTCATGTTCGGTTTGTTATATTCATTTATTCATACCCTATGTGTATCCAATAATTACTTCACATAAAATCACATTTAAACAACATTAGGTAACCCTATGTAATATTTCGAATACGCCTCAGTACGCGTGCTAGAAAAAGAAAAACAAATGAACAACGTACCGAGCCTTGTTTAATTACGGTTTAATTAGGCAACATTTATTACAATTGCGGTGAAAACCGAAATTAAAATTAAAACTTTAACAAATAATTTTTAAACTTTCGCACTGCATGATATTTAAATTTAACTTTAAATGAGTTATTTATTTGATTTTTAATCGCATGTAACTAAAGGTTTACTCAGGTTCTTTATGATTCGCCGAGATTGAAAAAGGGACGATTGGACGGATACACGTACACTACGCTTTATCCACATAGATGATCCTTGAGAGATGTTATTAATAAAGACGACGGTCCTTGTTACCCGATAATAATAAACAATATTTGTCCTCATGAGGTTGTACTTGCTACATGTTATATGTTATTACATCAGTTTTATTGATATTATCCATATCATTTATTAAAGAGAATCTTTGACAAATGATTTTCACGAGCTAATATAGACAATAATTCATCCTTTCCGTTTACACACACGCACACGCGAGCGCTCACACACACACACACACACACACACACACACACACACACACACACACACACACACACTCAACCCCCCACATATATATATACATATATATATGTGTGTGTGTGTGTATTTAGGCAGCAATCCTTCTTTTATTCACATTTCATTGAATACAACAGACAAGGTGCTTTGATTAGTTTTTTATACAATTCCTCATGTGATCTAACAAATGTTTCTTTTCACATGACAAATTATATAAAAACTGTCCGATTGCTCTTTTTATCCGAGCGCTTTCGGCTATACATTTAGCTATTTTCAGTGTTGAAATTTTTTAACTGCTAACAAGAAATAGTTTGTTGTTCGTTACATACTTGTTGACAACACAAATATAATAGCATCATACACATGCAAAAAAAAAAAATAAAAGTAATGGAAGCCTTATTAATAAAAAAACAACACACAATAATATCAACTAGGAACATGGACACAATATCTTGACCGTGTTTTGAAAATGAAGACATTATCTAAATACATACATACAACAAACTATTTCTTGTTATTATCTCCAGTGGTTTTAGATAACAAAATGGAAGCTTATACTTACTATCAAGACAAAGCAGTTGACATTTGTTGGGGACATAATGTGGAAAAAGTGAATGGAAAATCTTATACTAACTGGACAGTTTGACACCAAGAAGGTCAGAGAAAAAACATTTACATGCGTTTGAGGGCTTGAGTAAAAAGGATGGAAGAACAAAAGTTAAGTTTGGATAATAACATTTATTAAGAGATATGAAGAACAGGTCAGATCACCTACGTCCTGAAGTGACACGGCCTACGGAACAAGAGAGTTGAAGTGAGACGCAGCTATTATATTTTACTTACTAGTGTTTTCCTTCTTTCTTTACTTTATTCTTTCTTTACTTTTCTCTTGTCTCTTATTACATTTAACTTAACACTCTTTTCTTCATTTCTCATTTTTTTCTTTTTTCATCCTTTCTTTCTTCCTTTCTCTATTTCTTTCTTTCTTTCTTTCTTTCGTTTTCCTTACTTCTTTCCTGTTTCTTTTAACATTTTATTTATCCCTCTTTTCTTTTTTCATTTATTTTCATTCATTCTTTTTTCTTAACTTTTTCTTGCCTCTTATTACATTTTACTCACTCTCTTTTTCACTTTCTTTATTCCTTTTTCAATCCTAATTTTTCTTTCTTTCTTTATTCATTCTTGTTTCATTATATTTTACTTACTCCTTTTTTCTTTCTCTTTTACTTTCTTTTTTCTTTCTTTTTGCGACTTTGTCTTCCTCCCTTTCTTTATTCTTTGCCTATTATTACATTTCACTTACGCCTCTTTCATTTCTTTCTCTCTTTTTTACTTCTTTCTTTCTCGATCTATTTTCTTTCTTTCTTTACATTTTTCTTGTCTTTTATGGCGTTTCACTTCAACACATTTTCTTTCCTTCTCTCTTTTTCTTTCTTCTTTCTTTCTTTTTCATTATTTCTTTCTTTACATTTTGAAAAATCATCATATTTTACTTACTTTTATTTTCTTTCAATCTCTTTTTATTTATTTCTTTGCTTTTTTCTTTCTTTCTTTCATTTATTTTTCTTATTTCATTTTACTTGTCCTTTTTTTTCATTATTTTCTATTTGTCTTTCTTTTTCCTTTTTCATTCATTTATTTTTTCTTTACATTTTTGTTGAATCATATTGCATTTTCCTTAAGCCTCCTTGTTTTCTTTCCCCAAATTGCTGTTTACATATCACTTTGGATTAAGGCCATATCACGTTGAAAAGCACGTTCTCTCGTACGAGATGGTTAAGAGCGGTGACCGCTTGGGAATAACAGGTGATGCAGGGACAATGTCTCGCAACTGGAAATGGGATAGCCGTGTTTCAATTCCAGTTGGGTTCGTCATATTCACTTACGCCCAAAAAATAGTGGGAAAAGGGATGAATCAATCAACACTTCTCCTACCAGCTATGGATGATTTAGTATGACTTGTATAAGTAAATCATTATTGTCACAAAAAAAAAAAAATTCCTACGATCTAAAAACATTTTCTGGCTTTAATATGCAAAAGTTTGATAACCCGTAAATGAACAAAAAAATGTTTATGTCATTCTTCCACGTTTAGCATTGCTATGTAATAAATTTAATTTAACTTTGTTTACATAAACTGATATTGGGTTTCATCTTTTGCTTTTTGTGAAATGTGAGACATTATGTTATAATATACTTTTCAAATACTACATTTTTTATTACTTATTTTAAAACACGCAACATTCAATGTAACAATTATTTCCCACCTTTATTCATTCTTTCATTTTTTATATTTTAATTAACCGTTATTTCTTTCTTTAAATTTCTCTTTACTTTTTCAGTCTTCTTTTCTTTTTTCTTTCTTTCTTTCGTGTCTTTTACTGCAGATTATTTAACTCTTGTTTCTATCTTTCGTTATGTTTCTCTTTACTCTTTCTATATTTCTTTCTTTCTTGTCGCTTACTGCATTTTAATTAACCCTTTATTCTTTATATATTTTTTTTATTCCTTCTTTCCTTTCTTTTTTATAACTGCATTTTTAATAACCGTTATTTCACTCTTTTTGTTTCTCTTCATTCATTCATTCATTCGTTCATTCATTCTTTGTTTGTTTGTTTCTTTCTTTTTTTCTATCTTTCTTGTCTTTTATAGCAATTTATTTAGACCTTATTTCACTCTTTATGTAACTCTTTATTCAGTATTTTTTTTCTTTTTTTCGTTCTTTTTCTTCTCTTTAACTGCATTTTAATTAATCCTTATTTTTTCTCTTTCATTATGTTTCTCTTCATTCATTTCT